CTCTTTGGCTACTTTTTAGAGGGCCAGATCAGGAATGAATCAAGAGAAATTCCAGGAGCAGAACTGTGTGGATGAGTGAATTAGAAGAGAGAAAGTTGCATTCAGATGTTCATTTTCCTCTCCCTATGCTATTAATCTAACCTATGTTAGATTAACTCATTCCTGTTCTAAAGCACCTCTTCCTGTTCTTCCCAGAAGAGCCTCTTCCTATTAGACCACAGTATTATTTATTGTTCTTCTCAATTGCCTGCTACACCATTGCCAGAAATCCTAATATTACTTTTGTTCTCCCAGGATTGCCATGGTGTGCCTGGCTGCTTGCTCTACATGCGTGCACAAAGCATGTTACCACACCTTCTCCTTTGTGCTCCAGGTGCTGAAGGTTACTGGCGGTGGAATCAGGAGCTGCATGCCCTCTTTGCCCTCCACCTTCATTTTGTTATAAGCCAGCAAGGAGAAAACAAGATGATGACCAGATGCCTTGGGCCATTACTGAGGATAAGCCCCAAGTCGCTATTACTGGAGTTTGTCTCTGTTCAGCCTAACAACTGTTTTATCACTGGGGGAATAGCAGTAGCAGCAGCTCATCTAGTGGCCAACGCAGCCTTCTACACTTCCTTTTTACAATGCAGTTCGGAGAAGTTATTCTTTTGGTTTTGTCTTTTAAGATGAAACTTTGCTGGGGCTGATTAACAACAGGCTATTTGGTTTGGCTGTGATGCCCCATAGGCCAGTAGTTAAAAAACCTGATAAACCTATTATCAGAGTAACAGGGTGGCTTAAGGGACTGGTACCATCAAAGCTGTGCCACACCCTTGCACTTAAAGTTTGAATCCTTTCTTTCGCAAAAATTCACAAGCAGTGTTAGATCATCTGTTCTCTTTCAGGGAAATTTTATTTTGGAGAGCTTTGCCCTGCTAATGCTTGTAGAGAATATTTCAAATAGGTCTTGACCCTTTTCTAAAAGGTAATAAATTATACATACTCTTCACAAATATGCAAGAGCAAAATCTGGGCATAGTGCCACTCATGCACCTGGGGAATTATTATAAGAGAGCACAAATATTGATTAATCAATTAGAATTGATTAACTCGAAGGAAGATGAAAGAAAGCATAATGCAACTGTGTTTTATGAATAGTGGACTCTCATACTTAAGGCCAAAGCATTCCTTGAAAAGTGCTACTAACAGAAGATTCTCATAATGCTCTTACGTTCTTAAATTCTGGCGAAGAATTAGGACTACAGATGTTGGAGCAATTAATGGGAATACATATATACATATATGAGCGAGCCCAGAATGCCTGAACATGTTAATAGTCTGCCCTCTTAGATGGCATAAAACTCTTTGCAAACTAATAGGTTCCCAAACAAATAGAACTGCACTTAATCCTCTGTTTTTT